CGTGTATGTATGGATGGAAAAATGGACGTTCAGCAAGACTGAGATTCCCCGAAGATCTAAGAGACTTTTGTGAGAGACTTGATATACAGGAAATAAATATCCCTGGTTGGGAGGAAGAAGGAGGAGAAATATGGGCTATGGAAAATGAGGGGAGGCAAGTAGCTCTAAGGAAAATAGAGAGTAGGAATAGTACAGAGGAATAAGATGGGAGGGAGGGGGTTCTCTTGCCTTTTTTTTTTTTTCTCTCTCTCTCCCACCATGTCTGCCTCTCTCTTATGATCTTTGACGTTTACTAGAGTATGGCAGGACACGGAGGATGAGACACGCTTATTGGGGAAAAGTTCATGGTCAGAGCTTCACCTTAAAAGCTGAATCAAAAGTGGGGTTAGGACCAGAAATGATTCATAGGCAAAATGTAAGGGAAGGGGGGGGGGGGGGGGGGGGGGAGGGTATGGGGAGGGGATAGGTAGTTTAAGATTCTGCGAAATAGTGGTAGAAACATTAGTCTGGAGAAATCCTAGAGATCAAAGGGGAAGATGTGAAGGAAAGAGGAAGAGAGAAGGGATGGGGAAGATAGAGGTGTGGAGAGGAGAAGAATGGAAGAGATTCACTTTGTGACTTATAATGTTAAAGGGTTAAATAGCCCTAGGAAGAAATTTGGGATTTTTAAAGAAATTCAACATAGATTGTTTTTTTTTTTTTTTAGAGTTTTTTTTTTTTTTTTTTTTTTTACAGGAGACACATTTGGTGCAAGAATCAGATGTGAAATTTAATTCCAGATATTATCCAATGTGGCTTTATGCACATTCCCCAATTAAACGTGCCAAGGGAGTGGCAATAGGTTTTGCAAAAAATATAAGTGTAAACTGGAAGACAGATTGGTAGATCCAGAAGAGAGATTTCTGTTTCTGAAGGGAAAATTACAGGAAATAGACGGTACACTAGCAAATATTTATTGCCCGAATAAGAAACCGGAGGTATTCCTAAAAAATACTCTGAGGAAGCTAGTGGATTTCAAAAAAGGCAATTTAATTGTGGCAGGTGATTTCAATCTCTGCACGGATCCCCAGATGGATATGACGTCCCCTGTGCAGAGAGATGGTAGTAGGTCTCTGAAATCCAAGAAAAAAAATGATATACCAATGTCAACCTGTAAATATATGGAGAATTAAAGCACATGAAGGACAGAGACTATACGTTTATTCTCATGCACATTAGATGTATTCAAGACTGGATTATATATTGCTGGACCATCGACTTATCGAGTCTCTGGTCAAAGTAAAAATAGAAGTGATGTCAATATCGGACCATGCCCCTGTCACAATGCAATTATTATGGGGAAATGAGCACATCGGGGGGAAATTATGGAGGTTAAATGAGACACTTCTCCAGGATTCAGAGGTGGATCAAAGAATAAAAAAAGAAATAGAGGAATTTTTTGAGGAAAATGATTCTGGGGAAGTGTTCGTAGCAACAGTGTGGGAGGCTCATAAGGCATATATTAGAGGAATCCTGATAGCGATTGGAGCAAAAAAAAGAAGAGGGAAAGGAGAAAAAATTAAACATGCTTTAGTGAACTCTATGAGTTAGAGCAGATACAGTCAGGTCCATAAATATTGGGACATCGACACAATTCTAACATTTTTGGCTCTATACACCACCACTATGGATTTGAAATGAAATGAACAAGATGTGCTTTAACTGCAGACTGTCAGCTTTAATTTGAGGGTATTTACATCCAAATCAGGTGAATGGTGTAGGAATTACAACAGTTTGCATATGTGCCTCCCACTTGTTAAGGGACCAAAAGTAATGGGACAGAATAATAATCATAAATCAAACTTTCACTTTTTAATACTTGGTTGCAAATCCTTTGCAGTCAATTACAGCCTGAAGTCTGGAACGCATAGAAATCACCAGGCGCTGGGTTTCATCCCTGGGGATGCTCTGCCAGGCCTCTACTGCAACTGTCTTCAGTTCCTGCTTGTTCTTGGGGCATTTTCCCTTCAGTTTTGTCTTCAGCAAGTGAAATGCATGCTCAATCGGATTCAGGTCAGGTGATTGACTTGGCCATTGCATAACATTCCACTTCTTTCCCTTAAAAAAAAACTCTTTGGTTGCTTTTGCAGTATGCTTTGGGTCATTGTCCATCTGCACTGTGAAGCGGCGTCCAATGAGTTCTGAAGCATTTGGCTGAATATGAGCAGATAATATTGCCCGAAACACTTCACAATTCATCCTGCTGCTTTTGTCAGCAGTCACATTATCAATAAATACAAGAGAACCAGTTCCATTGGCAGCCATACATGCCCACACCATGACACTACCACCACCATGCTTCACTGATTGATAAGGTGGTATGCTTAGGATCATGAGCAATTCCTTTCCTTCTCCATACTCTTCTCTTCCCATCACTCTGGTACAAGTTGATCTTGGTCTCATCTGTCCATAGGATGTTGTTCCAGAACTGTGAAGGCTTTTTTAGATGTCGTTTGGCAAACTCTAATGTGGCCTTCCTGTTTTTGAGGCTCACCAATGATTTACATCTTGTGGTGAACCCTCTGTATTCACTCTGGTGAAGTCTTCTCTTGATTGTTGACTTTGACACACATACACCTACCTCCTGGAGAGTGTTCTTGATCTGGCCAACTGTTGTGAAGGGCGTTTTCTTCACCAGGGAAAGAATTCTTCGCTCATCCACCACAGTTGTTTTCCGTGGTCTTCCGGGTATTTTGGTGTTGCTGAGCTCACCGATGCGTTCCTTCTTTTTAAGAATGTTCTAAACAGTTGTTTTGGCCACGCCTAATGTTTTTTGCTATCTCTCTGATGGGTTTGTTTTGTTTTTTCAGCCTAATGATGGCTTGCTTTACTGATAGTGACAGCTCTTTGGATCTCATCTTGAGAGTTGACAGCAACAGATTCCAAATGCAAATAGCACACTTGAAATGAACTCTGGACCTTTTATCTGCTCATTGTAATTAGGATAATGAGGGAATAACACACACCTGGCCACGGAACAGCTGAGAAGCCAATTGTCCCATTACTTTTGGTCCCTTAACAAGTGGGAGGCACATATGCAAACTGTTGTAATTCCTACACCGTTCACCTGATTTGGATGTAAATACCCTCAAATTAAAGCAGACAGTCTGCAGTTAAAGCACATCTTGTTCGTTTCATTTCAAATCCATTGTGGTGGTGTATAGAGCCAAACATGTTAGAATTGTGTCGATGTCCCAATATTTAAGGACCTGACTGTACATAAACATAAAGTAACAAAGGAGATTATGAAGGGGTAATAAAAGAGAAGAACTGAATTATAAGTGTTTGACAAGAGGGTATATCACATCGAGTGTGGCACATAGATTGAGTGGAGATAATTCACCTTTATGTTGGTGTGGATGTGGAGGTAGAAGCACAATGTATCACATATGGTGGGAGTGTTCTAAAATACAAGAGTATTGAGGGAAAATAGTAAGCTTGATTCAGAAAATTACAGAGGTTGATATTCTAGTAGACCCAGAGATTTGCCTTTTTCATAGTACTAAGCTTTCAGTTATAAAATACAAAGAATCTGGTTTATTGTACTATTTGAATGCAGCAAAGGGACTGATACCAAAGTATTGGAGGAGGCAGGAGGTGCCGAAAATAAAAGACTGGGTGGATAAAATATGTAAATTGGAGGAACTTTATCATTTGAATGAAGATAAGATGGCGAGTCAACCATACAAGATGGAACGAAATGGGAGAAACTCAAGAAGTCAAGATTAGCTTTAGAGATTATGGGGGATTAACATAGAATAATATGGAAACATATTTTGTTCTTTTATAGGGATTACGATCTCCAGAAATGAACAGGAAAATGTAGAGCAGAAGGGGTCAGAGATTGAAAGGGGGGGATGGGTGGTAAATAGGTAGGGGGGGGAAAGGGATGAGATGATAAATGTTTTGATAATAAGCTAAGGTGTTAATGAGTATGTTTGTATAACTTGTTTATCTGAAAAATTAATAAATATTTAAATAATAAAAAAAAAAAGATCAGGCAAGAAGGATGGATGGAACCTATGGTTGGCAAAAAATGGGAACTGTCCTATGACTGAGTGACTAGCGTTGTTGTAGGCGAATTCCACCAAAGGTAGCACTGAAACGCAGTCAACCTGGATGAATGAAGTAAAGCACCTAATATACTGTTCGAGAGTCTGATTGGTCCTCTCAGTTTGCCCATTAGTCTGGGGATGATAGGTAGAGGATAAGGAAAGCTCGATTTTCAAGATCCCGCACAGGGCTCTCCAAAATCTTGAAGTAAATTGGATCTGAGACAATATTCACAGGGACCCCATGAAGTCTCACAATTTCTTTGACAAAAACTCGAGCAGTCTCCATGGCCGAGGGTGTGTTCTTCAGAGTTAGAAAATGAGCCATTTTTATACAGCCGATCCACAATCACAAAGATGGCTGTGCACCCTTCAGATGGTGGGAGCGCCACTATGAAGTCCATGGAGATCATTCTCCAAGGTGTATCCGGAACTGGCAAGGGTCGGAGTAGGCTCCAGCCTCGGCTCCTGGCACTCGTTTCGAGTACAGGAGGCACAAGAATTGACACACTCTTTACAGTTCTTTTCCAGATTCGGCCACCAGAACATGCGTTGTACCAGATCAAAAGTCTTGTGGATTCCAAACTGGCCTGCCAGGGGATGGTCATAACAAAGCCCCAGAACAGCTACTCGAATCTCTTCTGGCACAAAAATGTTTTCTGCTTGTGTGAGTTTACGGGAAAAGAAGGCCACTGGGTGAATCAAGTCCTTAACCACCTCCCGCCCGCCATATAGTAATATGAGGGAAACAAGGTGGTTCTCTCGTTCTGGGACGTCGTCAAGTGACGTTTTCCCATTCTAACCGCGCATGCGCGGCTCCCAGAGTGCGGCGATACGCTGTGTCCCTCGGACACAGCGGATCACCGTTTCACGGAAAAAGCCGAAGATGTCAGCTCGGTCATGTGATCAGCTGTGTCCAGACAGCTGACAGCCTGTGAGGAGAGGAGAGCCGGTAATCTGCATTCCTCGGAGGGGACATGTACACAGATCATCAGGGCACTGATGATCAGTGTGCCCTGATGATCTGTGTAGCCCCAGCAGCGCCACCTGTCAGTGTCCATCAGTGCCATCTCTCAGTGCTCATCCATGCCACCTGCCAGTGCCCAATCAGTGCCACATTTCAGTGTCCATCAGTGCCACATATCAGTGCCCATCTGAGCGGCCTTTCAGTGTCACCCATCAGTGCCAGTCAGTGCCACCTATCAGTGCCCGTCAATGCTGCTTATCAGTTTCAGCTTAACAGTGCCAGTCAGTGCCACCTAACAGTGCCAGTCAGTGCTGCCTATCAGTGCCACCTATCAGTGTCATATATCTGTGTCATATCAGTGCCGCCTATCAGCGCCCATCAGTGATGCCTGTCAATGCCCATCAGTGCCACCTATCAGTGCCTCATCAGTGCCCATCAGTGCCACCTATCAGTGTCCATCAGTGCAGCCTCATCAGTGAAGGAGAAAAATCACTTATTTACAAAATTTTATAACAAAAACTAAGAAAAAATGTGTTGTTTTTTTTCAAAATTTTCAGTGGTTTTCGGTTTAAGAAAAATAAAAAACCCAGAGGTGATTAAATACCACCAAAATGAAGCTCTATCTGTCACAAAAAAAATGATAAAAAATTTCATATGGGTACAGTGTTGTCATTGAAAGTGCAACAGCACTGAAAGCTGAAAATTGGCCTGGGCAGGAAGGGGGTATAAGTGCCCTGTAGGCTAGTGGTTAAGCCCCTACTGCTGAGAAACCACAGCTCCTACTGCAGTCTCTTAAGTATCTACCTCCAGGATGTAGGGCACAGCGGGATCCGGGTGACATAGAATAGGGGCTGAGATAAAAAGTCATTTTAAGGTTTCAAAGGCAACTTGTGCTTCAGGAGTCCAATAGAATCAGGTACCTTGCTTGGTCAGCTGTGTAATGGGGAAATTATAGCAGAAATCCCCTGATGAATCTCCTGTAGAAGTTTGCAAACCCTACAAAGTGCTGCACCCCCTTAGAAATGACTAAACCCAGGAACTAAATTATCTGCTGCTCAAATTCACATTTCTCGGGTTTAGCATATAGTCCATGTTGTCGGAGCCAGCAGAGAACGCTCTTGACATACCCCGATGTGAGTCAAGGGACAGAGAAGATCAAGATATCATCCAGGTACACTATTACAAAAATGTCCAGAATGTCCATAAAGATATCCTTGATGAATTGCTGGAACGTAGCAGGGGTATTGCAAAAGCCAAGGGGCATGACCAAATTCTCAAAGTGGCTGAACTTTGTGCAGAAGGCAGTTTTCCACTCATCCCCTTCTCTAATACAGATCAAGTTGTAACCTCCCAGCAGATCCAGGGGAAGAAGATAGAGTTTTTTCACAATGATTTTATTGAGCTCCCAGTAGTCCATGCATGGCCCAAGGGAATGAGCCTTCCTTTCCACAAAGAAGATTCCTGCTCCTGCTGGGGAAGTGGATGGATGAATAAAGCCTTTTAGGTTTTCATCGACATATTCCTTGAAGGCCTCCAACTCACGTTCAGAAAGATCTGCCCGAAAGGAATCTCGGCCCCAGGAAGTAGTTCAATCGGGTAATCATAAGAAAGATGTGGAGGAAGGATGTCTGCACCTCTTTTACTGAACACATCCAGGTATTCCCGGTAGGTCTCGGGCACCATCTGATATGTCTCGTTGTCAGAGTCCATGCAAAACAGGGTCACTGGCGGAGTAAGGAGTTCGGACAGACAGTGTTCTTGGTAATAAATTGAATGGAACTTAATGCTTCCGGAAATCCAGTCAAATTTGTGGATTATGCGCCTGCAGCCATGGTAACCCCAGAATAACAGGGAATGGGGGGGAAGAAATAGCATCCAGACTTAACAATTTCTTGTGTTTAGTAGGAATGACAAGGAGTAATGTGACTTCTCTTGACTTATAAGTCCTGATTTAATGCCAGGTATACCAAAAGTCCTCGAGTCTTTGGCTGTAGTGGAATATGTTGCTCTGCTGCAAAGGCTAGGTCAATAAAGCAACTGCAGGCCCCAGCGTTAATAATGGCAGTCACTGAAACTACACCTCCTGGGAACTGAAACGAGATTGGGAGAGCCAGGTGAGTTGTGCTGGAGGTCAGGAGCGGCTGGATAGCAGGAGAGGTAGACAGGCACTTGCGCAACTTTGCAGGGGAATATGCGTACGTAATGGCCAGACTTCCCACAGTACATGCAGAGATTGTTTTGTTGACGACAAAGGCGTTCTTCAGATGACAGAGCAGGATGCATCAATCCCAGCTGCATTGCTTCTGGTATTTTAAATGTGGAAGCCTTAGGAATAACTGGAACAGAATGGGTAGAAGTCGGAGCTTTAGACATCATATTAGTTTGTTCCAGTCTGCGCTCACGGAGCCGACGGTCAATCTGGATAGTGAGATCAGGGCCTCCAATGTACTCATCTTTTAAGGTTTCTGAGAGGCAAAGGCGGAATTCGAATACCAGGGCTGCGTCGTTCCAAAGAGTATCTGCGCTCCAGGGTCTGAAGTCCGTAACATAGTCCTCAGCCACCCTGTGGCCTTGCTGGAGCGCATAAAGTGCAGCTTCTGCAGTAACAGTTTGTTGAGGATCATCATACAACTGGGCCATTGCCTCGAAGAAGGATGATATAGTGTGAAGCTGTGCATTCTTTTCCTCTAGCAACTGATTGGCCCACATCTGAGATTCACCCTGAAGTAAAGAGATGATAAACCCTACTTTCGTGGATTCCAAAGAAAAAGTTTGTGGCTGCAGGGAGAAGTATAACCGACATGCGTTATGAAATGCTCTGAGTTTACTTCGATCCCCTGAGAACCTTTCTGGTGTGGGAACCCTGGGTTCAGGAGGCCACATCATTCTGGGTGCATTAGCAGTCTCTGCTGGTGCTATTTCAGGTGAAGAAGAAGACATTGTAGCAGAATTTGTCGATGTAGCCAGGGATTGCACGTTCTTCCAGGTGGACATAGCCTTCCTGCAGAAATGTGACAGCTTGAGTCAGGATGGCGAGGTGCTGGCAGATCTCATCCATAGGAGAGGTTCCTCTTGCAGGCTCAGACATGGCTGTTGGATACTGTTACATACCTTACTTGTGAGTCTGACGGCAGAGGAAGGTTTCTCGGCGGCTCAACGGCCACTGGAGGTTGAACAGCACCCACAAGAGCATTGCGGGGTATAAGTGCTTGGTCAGTCCTGTAGTCTGTGCGGGAATTGCTGGCACTTCGCTAGCAGATGAGATGGCTGGCAGCAGAGGAGGCTGGTAGCAGGCAGACGCCACATCTGGACTGGCTAGTGGCAGAGAAGGCAGGCAGTGGAGCAGGATGGTAGCAGACTGTATGCAGGGTCAGACAAGCCGGGTCGGTAACATAAGCGGATCAGGCATGAACGGCAGGCAGAAGAATGGTCGGGTCACAAGCCAAGGTCGGTGATGGTGGGAGCAGATCAGGGAGATACAGAAGGCAGGGGCACAGGAGTCCAGGAAGGCAGAGTCCAAGAAACAAGCCGGGGTCAACACAGGTATCAGTCACAGGAATACAGGGGGGGGGGGGGGGGAGCTGCAGATCAGACAGAAATTCACTAGTGCAGCTGCTGCACCTATAGGCCAGTGGGTGCCAGAATTAGCCAATGCGCACAGCCATGCACAACAGTACGTGCACCTGCAGACCCACGCCTGCGCATTTGCGTGCAGCTACGAGCCTCAGCTATGCCATGGCCAGCATGTCCTTGACACTGTCATTGATTTTGACAGAGCACACAGAGCCCTTAGGCCAAGGGGTGCAGACGGCTCCCATCCCCCCAGGGACATAATTTGCTGTGTTGTCAATTTCCCACTGAAGGAAGAAATCCTCAAAAAAGCCAGACAAAATGATCTCATTACTTTTAATGGTGATGAACTTTCACTCTTTCAGGACCTTTACCCTATAACTTAAAAAAAACGGAAGAGCACTACGCCCTCTACTGACCATTCTGGAAGAGAAGGGGATTCCTTATAGATGGAGATTTCCTTTCGCTTTGCAAGCCACCCAGAATGGCAAGCATTATTATCTGTTGAGATGACCCGCAGTTCCTTCCATCGAATCTACGCCTCCGCAAACCCCTTCTAAATCACAGCAAAGGAAAACCAGGCACCAGAAGCAGGCTGGTCTGGGTTCAAGCTTGTCCTCACTGAAATCTAAGCAGTTCAGAGCGAGAGAGGATTTTGATGGTACCTGACTGTGATTAGTAGGTTTTATCCCTCTTCTTCCTCTTTTACAGTCCCTGCTGCTCTTTTCAATCAATGGTTGGTTATACCCAGATGGAGAGGGCATAGGGAACTCACATGGTAGGGGAGGTCTTTCCGACGGCTAACCACTGTTGGTTCCCTTCCCTTACTATGTGTTTGTTCTTGCATTTATGTTTGATATGCTTTTCCTAATTGATGGTTATGTGCTTAATTGACCAGGTGATACTATTTTATTTTATTTACGGCTTGACCACCGGGATGTTCCTAGTTATTGGCTCTCAGGACTCACATGGCCTAATAGTCATGTATCTATTGGCACATTGTTTGAAATTGTTACATCTATGTACAATATATTTTCTATAATTGCAATTGATCTCTGGATTCTATCTCATTTCTACGATACTGTCCCTGCAGTTACCGGATTCCTGATTTAATATATGTGTTGTTGGCTTTGAGTTCAGATCTTCCTATAAGTGTCTGCCACTGTTTATTACAACTTGCGCCATTCCTACGGTAAGCTTTACCATAGGCATTATCTTTCACTATTGAAAGATGGCTCTGCAGGTTCAATAGCCACTCCCACTAACCACGAAATTCGGCAGAGTAACACCCTGAGTTAGATATCATAACCTCTAGTTTTCCTGCCTACTTCTGCTGATACTTATTTAACCTTACGATACAGTATTTTTTTTTTGTACCTTATACCATTTGCTCTTACCAGGTGTGCAGTATCATATAGGTTAAAGTTAAATGAGAATTGTTTCCCACGTGTTTGTTTTGAACAGATCAGCTCACACATTCCTCGTGGCTTTCTTTTTCTTATACTCTCTCCTTATTTCACCAGCATGACCTAGGGAAAAAGCCCCTGATCATCTCCCATAATGTTAGGGGCTTAAATGTTCCTGAAAAGTGCTCTCAATAGTTACGCGAGTTAAAGCCAGGCCTTCTACAGTGTTCCTGCAAGAAACGCATTTTATTTTTTTGTTTATAAACTTTTTATTAGGAAATAAACAACAAAAACAGCACCACTTCATGAAGTATAACATAAAACAAGAAAAAGGCACACAAGTAAAAAAAAACTGTCT